CTCTCTCTCTCTCTCTCTCTCTCTCTCTCTCTCTCTCTCTCTCTCTCCAGAGATGTTTTGGAAGTTACTGATGTCCAGTAATGGAGGAATATAGTACACAACTGTGCTTAAATAAAGCAGAAAAGAAAATTTAAGGTATTTAGATTTTTAGTAAGATTAGTATGTTTTCTCTTTGGACTTTTCTGTAATACTAAATGGTTTACCACCACTGGTAGATCTAAAAATGAAAAAAAAAGAAAAAAGAGTAATCAAGGTCCCACTATTTGTGTGATAAAGCCATCCCTCAGAAAGCTTAATCCTGAAAACCTTTGCAAGCAAGCTGCATTTATGAAATTTATAAATTTATATGTTGAATCAGAGTCTAAATCAGCAATGTATAATATAGAGGTCATTCAGGAAACAGCAGTTCTAAGCAAAGGTCTTCCAGGCAAATTCTCTGGTTCTCCAACCTTCACCTTCTCCTCAAACTTACTGCCGTCCCCTGCAGAGTTATTGAGGGACCAGTAATGACACTCCTCCCCTCACCCTCAATTTAATAAAGTACTGAAACTGTATATTATTTTACTGACATTTTAACTTTCACATATCATAATTGCACGATCAATATTTTGCATGATTAATGAGAGAAACCAAAAAGATAGGTGAATGATTTTTTTTTTCCACTACCAACTGACCAAATTCCCTATGCACATTTAAGTATACTTGTTAAATGATGAAATTAATAATCAGTAAAACAATTCAACTGAAAAAATCTTCTTACTTATACCCGTATTTCTCACAAATCCTGAATTTGTGCCTGCATCCAAAGTAAAGTCTAGGCAAAAGCCCTTGTAAAAGCCTGACGAAGTGATCAAGTGAAGCTGGAAGATGATGCTGAACTCACTGTAGAACTGTTGAACACAAGTTCCCTTGTTGAAAATGTCATGGTATCAAAACCAGCTCCTCACTGCCTTTGGACACTGCTCTTGGGACAACAACTGACACATTTTTGCTCTAATAGTCGACCTCAGATTTCCAGCCATTAAAATGGGTGAAATGAAAATGCTTTGTGTTGGTATTCAGAGTACTTTGAAATGGAAAATCAACTCCATTAATTTCAAATACTCTGTAGTGGTTACCGTTTCATACAGGGTAGACTGTATCAGACCTTGGGGTCAGAATTTCAAGTCTCTATTTCTAGATGTGATACTGAAAGCATGTTCATGTTTTAATAAACATGGGTTTTGTTGTACCAATGCCTTGTAGCATGTGCAGTATGGATATGAAATCATGAAAACTACTACAATATTTTTTTTCATAAGTTGGCAAAACAGAGAAAATAATAGAAAAAGCCTTCATAGTTGTCATAAACATGCCATAAACTCTATTTTATTTAACAGAAATACACATTAGCTTCAACTGTGTTAAAAACATTTATCTAATCACAGGGTTTTAATATATTTTTTGTTGTCATCTAATAACTACTGTAATAATTATTCAACTAACTGTTGCAAATCCTCTGAAAGAATAAATCTTACAAAAAGTGGACATGTTATACCAAGTTTTGTGTGTCACTTCCCTGAATGTTTGATTTTTTAAAAATCAGAATAGTAAAGGCACTTGCATTTTTTTACATGAAGTCCAGAAATCTGGTTGTTCAACTGATGTTAAATGTCTAAAATTCCATAAAAGGGGATTGAATATTTTCATTAGATAAGATTTTTTGCCAATAAACAATGGTAACAGAGGAGAAACCAGTCCTTTCTCTAATTCCATATCTTAAGATAAAGCTGAAGGATTAAAATAAGAACAATAAATATGTTATTGTCCTATTATTATGAAGTGTATCTCATTTACATTGAACTATAATAAATAAATGACAGGAAAAATAATCTACTTGGTTGGAATAAGTGTCATACAATACTTTGTATAAAAATAAAAAAAAATTCAGGACAGAAATCCTGAAGTTATTATTATGTTAACTTTATAACAAGTATCAGTCAAAAAATGCAAGCTATTAATTAAATAAACCTAGATATATGAAGAAAAACAAAAGAGGATAACATTTCACACAACACTTAATTTTATTTATTTAGTCTTGTCTCAGGCACTTGTAATATTTAAGTGTTACACAATTACCACAGTACAAAGCACTAAAACCACTGAAACAAAATTCAAAAAGCTCAGATATCTAGCCAAGACAGCATCAATCAAACCTCGTATCAAAAGAAATCAATTGCTCACAGGTACAAAGAATAGGAAAAAAAAAGAGAATAGCAGGAATGAATTACACAGTGGAAAGGACAAAGAGTGGCCAAGAATAAGCCATCCTAAATCACAATGACCGTTTTTATAGTATTGTAGGTGTTCACACTACTTTAGATACAAAACCAAACCTGGTATAACTCTATAGCAACAGATTTCAAGCATAAATGCTGCCAACTCTCCAAGAACAGTGAGAGGAGGGGACAGGGTACCCAAATAAAGTTAAACACATAAAACCCACACACATACAGTAAATGCTAGCACATTCTGTTCAGTATATTTACCTTTTAAGAACAAGACTATAAGCAAGGAATGAGACTAGAAAAGGATTTCCTTTTTTTTTAAAGCATGACACATATAATACATAACCCAGATAATCTTCTCACAGACATTTGAGAATTGACCACAAAGCGAATAAGCCTTGCAGCATAGCAGGAGCGAATAGCTCATTCTTCTCCAGAAGTGCAAATGAGAGGCAGGTTCTGTACAAGCTGCAGCTTCCAGATCAAGGAGTTCTTTTCAGGATCAAACTGTGACAAGGTTAAGTTTGGTAAAGGACAGAGACAGATATCATTGTCCCTAACCTTAGGCAGTACCTCTAGAACAGAAATTGTAACATTGCATTAGGTACCCAAGATACTTTTCTGTCTTAAAGGGAAATACCCACAACACTTAAAGTTGGTTAAATGAGAAACACCAGTGACAAAGGTTAGCTAAAGTCGCATGCCTTCTTTGAGATGTCTTCCTGGCGACTTTGGAAAGGCACTTTGCTACCTAGGAATCCACACCGCAAAAAATGATTTTTGAAGGAAAGCTCCTCCATATTTTTCCCCCAAGAATTTAATAATCTCTTTAATTCCTATTAAAAGAAAAAGATATGTCTGTGTAGCCATCTACAGCACACTTCTCAAACCTGTTTCTCAAAGTGAAGCACTGCAGCCAATTTGGGTGTATCTACACCAGTAAATAAAAATGGGCCAGAGACCAGTCTCTGACCTCTCTCTTTGAGGCCAAAAGACTCTGATTGGCAGATTTTATACTCCTTAGGACTAGTCTCCTCTAGAGAGATTTGCCCTGCAGTCAGCATAGGAAGAGTATGAACTAAGAGTTAAGCAGTGTGAACAACAAAGATTCAGTGCTGAAGCCTGCTCTGCTGTTATCTTTTATTTAGAGAATGCTCCCCTCACTACTCTGGGTAAAGAGCATTGCTCGTTCTCCCTAAGAAAATATGCAAGATAAAACTAACATTTGTAAAATGGGATAACAGAATGTATTATATCATTTGTCAGAAATTGGGAAAAAATATGCTTTTGAGACACAAATATTTTTATGTTTCGGCCTTGAAAGCTAAGTACATTTTGGAAGAAACTACTCTTGTTTTAACCTGGTTATAAAGATATACTTACTGTGACAAGATGGATTTGAGATTCATTGGGCCAGAAAGGAAAAATAAACTGGGAATATGGCTTTCTAGTCTGGTGATGCTGGCTGCTCAGTGATTCTAGGTTCTATCCCTGAAAATATATGTCATTTTGGCATATAAACCAATGACTGTTGAATGTAAAGCTCAGCAATGTGATTATGCAAGTAGGGACAAGAAATACAGGACTCTCCCCCTGAAATGGGTGCCCTAAACATTCACACTCAGTGGAGGCATTCAAAACTGCTACTGTTCTAGCAAATAGAACCTTCTCCCGGGACAATGTAAAGGAACAGCGACTGCCTATATGGATGTTCTAGCCGGTAAACATGGGAAAAAAATAGAACATCACTCTTTTTCAGGGAGAGAGAGAAAGATTTGCTTTGTATTTTTTAGGGATCTTGATAGTGCTGGGAGAAAATGAGTATGAAAAACTGCATGGAGTCCCAACAAAGCTTAAATAGAGAAAGGCTCAATTTCTGAAATGAAAAGGAATATTAGGCAAGAACTAGGGCATCACAGTGTGTCTCCTGCTGTTCTTGGAAACTGATAAATCAAAGTGCCCACTGAGCAACAAATATTTCCAAGAGTGCTGTTTTGATCTAATTTCCCTCTAAGTCTCAGTTTAGGTGCCTAGACCTAATCCTAGAAATTGCACTGCTCTAAAAATATATTTACATGTGGTAAAACATGTCTGTGCATCTGCAGTGGCACACACATATCCACATTCTACTGTAATCTCTGTTATCAGCTTAGACAAAATCATTGAGCAAATCACATTAATACTGTCTCCTATCACTACCTAGTTTTGGTGTTATGACTGCTCATCACCACTGAGAGGACAGAAAAAGTGAAGATTTGGCAGCTGTGGATGGCAGACAGGCTTTCCTGAATTTAGATGCTGTAGTCATTGTGACTAAATACCCTGAATAATGCCTAGATTAAATCATCATTTACAAAATAAGGAACTGATACCAAGCTGATGCAAAGAGGTGTACAATAATGAGGAAGACAAAAAGAACTAAATCCATGTCAAATGCTATTATAATTTCATGAATGGCAGTTAGGTATTGACCATTATCCACTTTTTTCTTGCATCCTTTTCTTCACTACCCTAAGGGAACACAGTTGCTGATGAGTTTCCCCCTGTCTTGAGTCAAGTTTCAGGCTCTGAATCAGAAACCTAAAAATTATACCAGGACAAATAACTTTCTATGATCCCATTCCTCTAGGAGATGCAACAAATGAGACACCTTCCTCATCAGTGAAAAATTAAAATTATGCAATAAGAAAGTGTCCATCTCAGCAGTGAGATACCGAGTTTAGTCATGAGGATGTAGAACAATTGCATCAGTGTGAAACAAAGGAAAGGGTGGGAAAAATTTTTAATCTTTGTGTACTCAAATAAATTCAACTCTAGACCCTGAATTTCTAATTAACTCCTAAAAGTCTACTGCCATTTTTACTTTGATCTCCTGTCTAAATTCACCATCACACAAGCAGAGAAATAAATAGCCAAGACATTTAAATGACAGTGAAACAGTAAAAGAACAAAAACCCACAACAGCAGTGGAAGTCTATCTCTTTCTTGGAATAGATCTGAATAGGTATCATATTAAAAAAGTATCTCCAACAATGCTATGCATGTGAAGACTCCTTAGATTGCACTAAGGCAGTTGTGGTAAAAATGGTGTTCTAACCATCCAGGAATTACATGCACAGAGCATTACCATATTCTTGGCAAATCCTTACACAAGGCTAGGACTGAGGTAAATACATATGTTAATGCTCACCAGATCCTTCATACAGATAATCTGTACTGAGTACTTCTCTTGATATGAATAATACACCTTATTACTCACTTCATGACCTATTGAGTAGTGTAAGTGTGCTATGCAAAGATAAAGCCTTAAATCCATATTTATACTTTTATTTTGCTAGCGGATTTTTATTTTGTTCAGTATGAAGCACTATCTTTAATCCTGAAAGGGCTTGTTACATGATTCCACATTATACCACGAGATTGTTCCATTTGTTAAGTGGAGTAATATTATTTTACCCATCTGGTAAATCACTCTGGGGTTTGCAGAAGAAACAGGCATATTTATTTTAATTGTTGGATGTTAGTCTTTGTACGAAGACACAGTAATTATGTCTTTTGCTATGCCTCTACCCAAGCACACAATATACATGTATATAAATAAAATGGAATGTAATTTTGACCTTTAAGTCTTGGTTCTGGCATGTTGCATTACTTAATGTCAGACCTATGTAACATGATACAGATCTGTATTCTGGTATCACTTGTTCGGTCAGAATCAGTGTTTGTTTTACCATCTTGCAAAAGCAATAACTCTTACATCTGTCCAGATAGATACAAATCTCACCTGAAATATTCAGAATGAATCCTAAGATGGTTTGCTGGCACCCAGAGGGGAAACTGTAGTGCTCTTGCTCCTTTCTTCTATCAAGATCTGAACACGGAGAAAAACAATATTTACAACTGAGTGAGTTTCCAAACTGCCTAACTTTTCAGTTGTGTGTTTTTTATATGTTAAATATGGTTCAGAAGATTAAAGTCTTCGTTTTAGGCGAAGAAAGGAAATAATGTTTCCTGTCCCATTTGCCAAGCTAAGTGAACAACTGTTCCAGCACAATTAGAATTGTTAATTGATTTGAAAACATAGGGCTTTGAAGGTGGAAAACTGCTGACATTATTTCAATGGGGAAATGCACTCCTGAGAGAGAGCACTGCAGTACAATTTCTCTCCTTGTTTTGTTGAATATACATCTATAAAAACACTGTGAATCATGCAGTAAAAACTGCTGTGCTGATATCATAAATCTCTGATAATAAAAATTTCATTGTTGAAACAATAAAATAGACTTTTATTATAACACAGAGTATCCACCTAAACATTGTCCTTTTAGCTTCTTTGAGTTAAATGTATGCACAGTTTTACAGTCTATAAACAGATCTGGAATAAAAGTTAATAAATGTCAAAATTTGCATTTCAAAAAATTCTTCCTGCATTTTAGGGAAGATCAATCTATGAACCTTTCAACATTATGTCAAATGAAATGCTAATTGTACCTTTAGGAATTTCAGAGACAGTGACAAGAAACTAAATGCTCTGTTCCTTTGCATCAGCAAGTCGAGGATAATTGTATATCTACTCTTGTGAACTTCTAAGAAAAAAAGAAATGCTAAGGAAAAAGGGTTTTCTATTCTTTAACTCAGGAGAGTAAACTCCTTCAGCCACCCTTCATCAATCTACCTTCAAATAAATTGTGTTAACATGTTGACAATGGACAAATCACACAGAGCTACATTTATTCATTTTATAATAGGTTTGTCAAATGAACTTCAGCTAGAGATTTAAGAGTGAGAAACATTTCCACCCAGGAACAACACGCTTTTTCTATCCAAGTTGCTAGAATGGTTTGTACATAAATTTCTTTTCTTGGAAACAACTACCTTTTTTCTCCCTCCCCAAATATTAGTAAAGTACTACTTCTTTGAAGGGTAAAAACACTAAATATATAAAGAAGACGGATAGGAGGTTTTTTATATCTTCTCTAGAAAAATTCATAATGCATGCCTTGTTTTGTTTAGGAATCAATCTTATCAGTTTATCTCTAGGTAGTACAAATTGTATGCCATAGTGGTAAGTGCAAGAACACACTCATGCAATAAGGAAAACTAGCTGGAAAGTAGTACCTAATTCAGGTTTGCAATGTCTTCCCTGGTATTAGACTACCCTCACTATTGGAATATATTTCCTACAGCTACACTGAGACAGTTGAAACATTCGCTTTCTGTTTGGAAATTGAGAGACAGAATAAACCCAGGGAAATGTTTATGCTCATGTTAACTTATTCAGTCAACTTTATCCTGATCAGGCCTGGACTAGGCATCTTCTAACTCTCTAAATCCTTTTATAGCATACAACCTGTGGTTTCCAAAACTGAGACCAGTCTCATCCTGCCTTTCTGGCTTATGGTCTATAGGTCTACATTTGTATATTTTAGATCATTCAGGGTAAAAATATTTCAAACTGTATTTCATTTAGAAGTTACAAAATGCAACCACACTTTGGAGCTAGAATTCAGATTGGTGAAACTACTTCTCTTTGTGTTACCACTATATATTTGAAAAGGAAGCTGCAGATCTTACACTTAAGTATTTGAGCCAGATCCTGCTATCACTAAAATTGAAAGCAATTTCGTCTTTGGTGTGAATAGGAATTAGGTGGGATCTTTGTATTTATAGGTCTACAAGAGTATGTAACAACTGACATATTTTTAATTTACACTAAGTAAATGTGAAATTATGTGTTCAGAAGTGATATATTTAAGTAATTTCAGCTCTGTGTAATCTCTCACCGCTAGAACACAAGCTACTCACTGGCTCAAATTTGATATCCATCAATTTTCTTTCTAAAATGTTAATCTCTATGCCATCTCCATGCTGTATAATAGCTAGATAATCAGAAAATGTGGTAAACATGGTTCCTTACCTACCTAGTACTTCTTTTTATAGCAACTATTTCCAAATGTATGATTCCTCTGTTCTTCAGTAAAACCAATTCCTGATGCTCTGTTTTAACAAAATGTTATTCAGCTTCGCATTCACTATAGGTATATTGGAAAAAGAAGCAATACACATTAGAAATAAAGGAATTTTGCAAACAACATTTTACAAACAACATTGTACTACAGCTTTTTGGGGTAAGTGTATTTAAGTATGCCTGTCAAATTTTTAACCATAATTTCAAAACATATTTTATGAATTTAGGCAACTCACTGGGGCCCTTTCTTCACCAATATATCTTTCACAAATATAAAGTTTTCAATGAGGTGGATTTTTATTTTCATTTGACTTCATGTCTACATAAAAAAAAGAACAGATAGGAAACAGACAGAACTTTCTTAAGCACTATGTTCATATCTTTTTTTTTAGGAGTCAAAACTGCAGGCTAATAAAGACCATTTAAAATAAAAGGGACCATTACTCCTCAGTTTTATATGAGCTTACATGCTTTCATTGTGCAAAGTGTGTTATTAATTTAACATGCCAGATTCATAGGTTTCTGCAATATCAGGTTTGATGTATTCATTATCGGCACTCAGTACATTAATTCACGCTGAAGTCCGGTAAATCAAAATTATACCATCTGGCTTCCTGTTCTTAATGATGAATTTGATGTAGGGGTGATTAAGATTGTTAGGCTTTTGAATTTTAATGTAAAAATTAGGGGATTAAAAAGGCATTTAGAAATGACCAATAGTTAGAATAAACTTACTGACAGGATCTAATTTGTGTACTTGCTAGTAAAGCTCCATTTTAATTAGCAGCCCCAGTCTTTCAGCACAAGCTCAAAGAGACAGAAGTTTAGTGATTAAGAAGATGAAGCTGTTAAATTGATAAATTGACCTTGAAATACTTGTAACTGTGGGGGATGGCCTAGTAGTTGTATGGTTGGTATGTTGTGCTACCACATAGGGGAAAGAGTTTCACAATTGACCCTGGTAATTTTCTCTTTTTAGATGATTGACCAGCTGGGGATGGGACAAATCACAGAGGTGACCCCCTCAAAGTCTAAATTCAATAGCTCAGTTCACAAGCAAATAAATTCCATTATTATTCAACACATGTTGGCAGATAGCCTGAAATACCACCTCAGTTCTTCAATATCTTACTCACTACCTTTGCCAGAGAGAGGTGCTAAAACAAGGTAAAAACGATAATGGGGTTGAAACGACATCATAAGTTGAATGATGACCTGTCAACTTCCATTGAGAGCAAAACAGTCAGGGACAAATTTGGCTCTCACTTGTCAAATGTTCTTGACAGTGGCCAAGCAGTCAAATCTTTGACAAGACAATTCCATTGTACCTATGATATTTTATTAATCTAAAACAAAGGCATTGCATATTGTTGCATGGAAATTGCTAGAAATCTTTAACAGGACAGATAAAATATGTAAGAGCTGTAGCATGCAAGGGGAAGAGAGTTCTGCTTAGGGTGGTTGAGCTTGTTAGAACAGTATGACATAATGTGGAATCATATTAGGGCCAACAAGCTGCAACTCAAATTCATACACATAGTATGACTGAAATAATAAAAAAAAAAGCTATGTTCCCATGTTTTGGCAAAGTTCCAGTTATTTGTATCTTCTCAGAGAAATGTGATAATATGTTAAATCTCACCTTCCCTTTAAAAATCCTAAAGGTAGTCACTCATATTGGTACACTGTGGCAGGTATAACTTACAAGAGAAAACGAGTACATTTGTACATATCAACAGTTTGAAGGATTCTTATTCCTTGGCAAGTCAGGGAATATTTTAAGTCTTATATTTCAGAGGAAATCGAATCTTGACTAACCACTGCAATTTATGTCATTTTAAATAAGATATATTTGAATAAGTATATTTTTCATGCCCTAAAAAGACTGATGTCTTCTTTTATAAGCTCATCCTGTGACACACTTGAGTAGGTAGGTATATTGATTTTTTTTCTTTTTCTGATGGCAATGAAGTGTAAATGGAAAATATCAGACTTGGCAATCACTTAAACCATGTGAAAATTTCAGAGTGAAGGCTATTAGAGTCACTTTGTGATCTCCCTAGATGACCAAGGAAAAAAACATTTCTACATTTCTTCAGATCCTTTGTGTGACAGCTAAGGAGAATAACATTTTTTCTAATATGCCAGTTTTACTCTCTAGTTGAGAATAACCTCAGTGCTTTCTTATGTCACTAGCTGAGAGAAGATGAAAGACCCAGCCTTGTGTAAATGGCTTTGTCTAACCATCAGTCTTTAGCTCTGCATGGCAGCTGTACTATTGACATTAGCTTGTGCACTGGGTGAAATTGAAGTGAGTTAAATGTGACCTTGGCTTAGTTGTTGAAGTAGAAATGAACTCTACTGGGAGTGAAAAAAAATAAGACCAGTTTCTCAAACTTCATTTTTTCTTTAATGAGTTTAACAGCACTCTTAGGATTTGGTACATTTTATAAAAAAGCTTTTATTTCCTTTTCTATTATACAGTGAGTAATCACCATTAGTAAGGTTAGCTTGCCCTTTTAGTATAAAATCCTGATTTTAGGTGTTTATATCCCAATTACTATAAAAAGCAGAACTCTCTCTCAAAAAAAAAAAAAAAAAATCCACTGTCTTTTCTCTATGTTATCTGCTGTACCATTTCACAAAAACCTGTTACCACACTTATTAATTATAGTTAAAGCATTAAAAAAACTCCCAAATGTTCAGTGCTTCTAATGACTTTACATTTTCTTTAAGTTAACTGAACTACTTACTGGTGAATCATATGCTCATGTGGGAAACATGCAGTTTGGACCCAACCCAAGATTTTCATGTTGTTTATATCCTGCTGTGTTTATATCCTTCTGTGTGTACATGACAACATAAGATATCTGAAGATGGGCACAAGAATCAGGAAAAACCAGCCACATTCTTACCCAGGTGTTCAGCTCATTGCGTATAAGGGTTCAACTGTGGATCATAGAATCATAGAACAGTTTGGGTTGGAAGAGATCATCTAGTTTCAGCTCCCTCTATCATGGGCAGGGATGCCACTCACTAGATCATGTTGCTCTGGGCCCCATCCAACCAGGCCTTGAACATCTTCTGGGATGGGGCATCCACAAATTCCCTGGGCAGCCTGTTCCTGTCTCTCACCATCCTGGTATTACAGAATTTTCTCCTAATATTGAAACTAAATCTTTCCTCTTTTAGCTTAAAAATGTTCCCCTTTGCCTGATTGCTATCTGCCCATGCAAAAAGTGAATCTCCCTTTTTTATAAGCCCCCTTTAAGTGCTGGAAAACAATGAGATCCCCCCCAGAACCTTCTATTCTCCATGCTGAGCAACCCCAGCTCTCCCAGCCTGTCTTTGTAGGAGAGATGGTCAAGTACTCTCATTATCTTTGTGACCCTCCTCTATACCCACACTAACAGGTCCACATCTTTCTTATGCTAAGGACCCCAGAGCTGTAGTCCAGATGGGGTCTCATGAGGGCAGAGTAGAGGGGGAGAAACACTGCTGAAGTCTCCAAACATTGCAATCTTTTCATCCACCTTCTCCTCAGGGTTGCTGCCAATGACTTCTTACAGTCTGTACTTGTGTCTGGGATTACCAGAGCAGCACTTTGCACCTGGACTTGTTGAACCTCATGAGGTTCTCATGGGCTCACTTCTCAGGTCCCTCTGGATGGCACCCCTTCTTTCTGTTGTGTCAACTGCGCTGCTCAGGTCTGTGTCATTTGTAAACTTGCTGAGGGTGCACACAATCTCATTGTCTATGTCATTGATAAAGATTTTAAAGAGCACCAGTCCCAGGACAGAGCCCTGACAGTCACCATTTGTTCACTGTCCTCCATCTAGACATAGAGCCATTGACCATATCTCTCTGTCTGCACCCATACAGCTAATTCTTTATCCACCAAATAGTCCACCCTTCAAACACAGGTGTCCAATTTGATGTTAAGGATGTTGTGTGGGACTGTGTCAAATGTCTTACAGAAATCTAGGTAGATGACATTGATCGGTCTTCCCTTTTTGACTGTTGCAGTCACTCCATCATAGAAGGCAGCATGTTGGTCAGGCACAATCTGCCCTTAGTGAAGCCATGTTGGTTGCCTCAGATCACTTCCTTGTCTTTTATGTGCCCTAACATTGCTTTGGCGAGGTTATGTTCCATGGTCTTCTCAGGAACAGAGGTGACGCTCACTGCCCTGTAATTCCCTAGATCTTCCTTTATCCTACTTTTAAAAATAGAAGGGAAGTTTCCCTTTTTCCAATCTGCACCTGAGCACCATGACTTTACAAATAGGATGGAGTGTGACTTTTCAATCACATCAGCCAGTTGCCTCAGGACCCTGCAATACATGTCATTAGGGTCCAGAGACTTGTGCCTTTTCACTTCCACCAGACGGTCTCAAACTGCTCTTTGCTTACTTCTTTCCCCCATCCCCAATCTGGAGGTTCAGGGACTTGAGAGATGTGGGAAGCCTGACTGCCAGCGAAGACTCAGGGGAAGGACTTGCTGAGTATCTCAGATTTCTCAATATCCATTGTCACTGAAGCTGTACTGGGCTATGTATATCAGATGTTCCCACCAGCCCACAAGATAATCTCAGTGAAATCAAACAGAAGTGTAAACCTCACATTCACTGTTGAGGTAATAAAGCAGATATATAGAAAAGGATTTCAGAGGAAGCTACATAGTTAGGAATCAGAAGGTGAGCTCTTCTGAGGCTCTGTGGACTCAGAAACATTACGGGAGAAAGAAGGCCAGAAACTTTCAGAGAAAGAATCAGCCGCAGAGAGAGAAATCTTTCCCTACCTTCCTGACTGCTGCTGAGAGATCTCAGCTCTGCTTCTCTGAAGGCAGAATGCTCTGATCTTAGAAAATCTTGGTGCAGCAGTCCCAAAACTGAGCATACCTCTTGATAAAGAACAACATGACAGGAGACCTACAACAAAAATACAGTGATAGTAGTTTGGGTGGATTAGGCAGGAGGTTGACTGCAGCTGTTTATCAAAAGACTATCCGTTTGTTCGGGGCATTTTGACAAGCATTTTTTTTCCCAGAAGGTGAACTTCAGTGAATTTACATTCACAGAATTGAACAGTATACTATCATAAACTAACTGAGGTATTGGTCAGAGTAATCAGAATGATAACTAAAAACAAGTGAAAGCTATTTTGTTTTGGGCAGCTTTATTTTTTTAATGTAGATATATGAAGAAGCCTGTTAATTTCAATGAAATCTTTCCAAAGAAAGAACTGAGTCCTTATCAAAATTTTCTTATTTGATATTTTTAACCCTTTAGTTTTGAGGTTTATGCCCAATAAAACACTATTTTGCTGGTCATATTTTTACATCAGTCAAATAATTCCCACTCAATTTCATTTCCTGAGCCTTCTTATGTGGCTCTAATTTCAGTTTCTTACAATTTACTGCTTATAAGCAATGGGTCAAAGGTTTACGTGATATATTCCCTACATCTAGATTTTCTGTATTGCTGTTTGAAAATTGAAAATCTTTCTTTTCATCTTCAGTGTCTTTCTCTTATATTTTTCTGTATTATGTCATAACCATATATCTGTCCTTGGTCTTAGCCTTTCCAACTGCTCTTTATTTTAGTGTCCACCTTATTCATTTTGACTTATTTTCAAGTTTTGTGCAGTCATCAAATTTCAGCCTGTTACTGCACATTCTGTGTTTCAGGTTACTTTTATATAAGGTGAATAAAATATGTCTTATTCGTGTTACTTTGGCCTTATACTTGTCTGATATTTCCCTCACTCACAACTGTTACAACTTATAACTACCCTTTATAACATATATGTCAATCCTTGGGACACTAATGTAACATACTGTCAGTACCATAGATCACCAGGCCTGCAGTAAACTTCTCTTAAGTTCTCTGAAAAACCTTTACTAGGAACTCAAGAGAGAATTTGTCTGTAGTTTTTGCCTAATCCATTTGAATTTCTTTAAACTTTTTTTGCAAACTAAGCAAAGTATCTCTGTAGTTGTCATAGTTTCTTTTTGTTGAATTTAATTAAGTTCATAAATCTTCTGGATTAGAGGATTATATCACAGGAAAATCCTTTGATAAAATCAGGAATGAGTGGAAACTTTGTATTGTCAGAGTTTTAGAAATCATATGCGGGGTCAGATTTATGTTTTTAAAGAAAGGTTGTCAAGCAAGGAGAGTTGTGGACTGGAAATTGCAGCCATTTCAAGCATCCTGTAGGTGAGCGGTGCAGGACTAGGACATTCTGGACTGCAGAGAAAATGCCTGGCAATGTCAGATTCAGCCTTAGAAAAGCAGATGGCCAGAAGCAGTGACACAGATAATTCCCTGGAATACCAAAAGCATCTCCAGCACACAGAACAGAGAATATACGGCTATGTGTATTAGTAAGCATTTTCTCAGTATTACCAAAAGAGTACATATTTCCATAACCCACCAAAGGACGTGGTAAATGAACCAATTCATGACAGAATAGAATTACAGAACAACTCAGGTTTTAAGGGATATTGAAAGATCATCTGGTCCAACCTTTCATGGGAAAGGGAGCCTAGATGAGATTACTTAGCATCCTACCTAATTGCACTTCCAGGAGTGAGGACTTCACTCATTGTTCTCATCATAAAAAATTTCTTTCTTGTATCAAGATGAAACCTCTCCTAAGGAAACTTGAAGTTGTTGCTTCTTGTCTTCTCTGTGTCATTCTTTGTGAAGACAGAGCCTCCATTTTCTTTGTAGCTGCCCTTTAAGTACTAGAATACCGTGAAAATGTCACCCTGCATCTTCTATTCACCAAGAAGAAAAGATTGAACTTCTTCAGTCATTTCTCATAAGACAGGTTCCCCAGCCTTTTGATCATCTTTGTGGTCTTTATTTGAATTCTTTTCAGTACATCTCTCCACCTCTTTCTTGAACTGTGGGGAACCCAGTCCTACCAGGGTCACAAAATCTCAAACAAATGGTAGTACTTCTTCAGAGAGGGGAAGGAGTAAAGCTTACATTTTGCTCTCGTTCCTTTTTTTTGTTTGTTTGGTTTGGTGTTTGTTTTTTTTTTTTTTTTTGTTCTATATTTTTAGGTTCAGTTTCATTGTTAATTCTCTTTGACATGTTACAGATTTTTTTTCTCTCAAAGTACATGATCCAATGCTTTCAATGTCTTCATATTGTTAGAACTATATAGCAAAGTCTCCAATGTTTATGTACATTAGTAATGATCACCTGTTATAGAGCTCATTAACAGGGGAAAAACACCAAACTTAGGAAACACGGAACTGAAAGGTATTATTAGATAAATAATCATTCATATGGTTTTAAGATAGAAATGGACTTCTGAGTAATTCTGAAATTCATGCTCATGGCCTTGTACAGCTTTAGAAAATCCAGGTAATTAATTGATATCTTTACCTTTCAAAGTATTTGGTTCACCTTTCATCTTACAAGTCAAGCTTTCTAGATTTTAGCTAGATCACTTCTTAAATATGTGCTACTTTGCCCTTTTCAGTTCCAAAGAGATTATAAATAAACTTCCTAAAGGTTTCCCTATCTCTTCTGGGACGCTTCATCAAATGTGTACCTTCTGGTCCTCTAGTTTTGTCAGTCTTTAAATGTTCTAATTTCTAGGTCACCTCTTCTGGCACGATCTTGAGTTTCTTCAGTATGCTTTCCACCTCTGCTGTTAAATTTATGTCTGTTTCTGGCATCTGTTCCCAATCCTCCTCTGTGAACACTGAGGCTCAGAATTCATTAAAATTTTTAGCAATGCTTACCTAGGCTGTCAATAAATTACTTTCACTATCTTTTTGAGGCCTTACTGTTTCTTTCACTGATGTCTTGCTCCTATTAGTCAATTTATCCTAGCTTTATCCTGTTTTCTCCTTTCTTTTGAACAACATAACTCAGAAGTCACTCTGATAAAAATTAGTGTAGGAACTGTGCAAGAAAGCAAATCAACCAACCTTTTAACTTCTTTTGTTTAGTCTTAGTCCTCTTTTTCCTCCATGTTGTTGCCTACTTTTTGTTCATTTTGAAATTTTCCATGGCTACTGACCTACTGTAAAGAGGTGAATTTCCTTTAGGCAGATCCCTTTTCTAATACTACCCAAAGATGTTATGCCTTCCAAAGACATAGTAGCTTGGATTCTAATATCCTCTGTATTTGGTCAATTATTTTAATTCATGCAAATTAAATGTAAAACCATAGAAAAAGCTATTGAAACACTCACCTTGCCTGAATATCAAGATTTATCAGACACAGATCAAGTTCATTTTATCAATGAAGCTGTTCTAGGTTGGTATCCATTTTCTTCCTCCCATTGTTTGTTGAGATTTTTGAGGGAAAATACCTAAATGAAAAATCAATTCAAAAATTTGCAGTGTTGTGAGTGGAACCTTAGGGTCCGCTGAAAATTGAATGCAGACATTGCCAGCTAATAACAACTGCAAATCAACTAACTATGGTTTACTTATACAAGAGTTTTGCATGATGTGAACTAAATGCTAAAGATAGCAATAATGTTTGAATAATATCAATAAAATCGTACAGCTTTGTGCATGGACGATTTTATGCCTCTTTTAAGATTCTGTAGATCAATTAAGATTGAATCAATGTAAGTATATAACTCTTTTTAAATTTTTTAAACAGTACCTAAAAGGATCTGGGCATTTGTACCTTTCATTTTGAGATCAGCTGTAACTCTAGATGCAGCTGTACACCACAGTCATTAACCTGTTTGAGACGTTGATAAATTCAGAGCTCTAACAATTATTACTAATGATGTCATCTTTGCTATACTTCTTGAATTTGCATACACACATCTTAGAAAAACCTATGAGTGCCTCATTACTTTCAAAAATTTTCATATTTACCTGGTTTTATCTCTTTAAGTATTGTGAATTTTTCTTTCCTTTCCACACCCCCCTACCCCCAGGCATTTTGTTGTCTGTTTTGTTATTTGATATTATTGTCACCTTGTCCACCCATCTGCTTCTTCAAGCTATTTCTTTCTTCATTTTTGACAGTGCCTGTATAATGTTTCTCACACATCTGGTTTCTCTCCTATATACTGGCTTAAGCCCTCCCTCATGTTTCTGTGTATCCTCTTAGCATCTGGTAGATCACTGCCTCTTTGAGGAGCTGCCTATTCAGAAAGCAGCTTTCTTCTGTGGTGTTGTGAAACTCCAGGTAGGCTGGGGTGAAGCTACAGTGGAAAATAATTATTATTCAGTGTCTGATGCAAAAATTCAGTACACAATGAAAGAATCTATTGTTATGCATATACTCATGGGAACAGTGTGAGGGTTTCTTGAAGAAACCTTTGGTTTAAACATTTCAGTTAAAATCTCATTCTTAATGTTACATCAGTATAATTTTGGATTTAATAAAAAATGCTTTGAGAGCTTTGAGAGTACCATTTTTATAATAATTATCCTGTTTATTTTTCACAGTACTCCTAGAATGCTTTTACTTACATGTTTTCAGAACCTCTACCACTTATGACTAGTTAATAAAAACATAATACCACATAGTCTTATCCAGACCAATACATCTGCCCTGTGGGTTTTTTCCCTCAGTACTTTTTCCTCCACAAAGAGACTTTCCTACCTATTCCTTGAACTCGCGGATGCTCCTTCTTCTTTCCCCGTCACTGTTCCGTAAACAACCATTCTCTTACTGTGCTACCAGTTTAATGCAATTCTTCTTATTGGTGAAGCACTGGTGTAATACCATATTGATTCACATTTAATAATAATATACATTACAGCTTTGTATTTATGCTTGGTTTCAAGATTTTTCTTAAGTCTTACAGGAAAATACTTGCCACACATAGTACAGAAGTGCACCCTGCACAAACACCAAGTGGAAGAGCTTTGCAGAGTAGTGTTTGGAGGAAGGGAATCCAACAATCTTTCATCCATGCTACGGACTTTCTTTCCCCCTACTCTATGCTTCAGAAACTATACAGAGTTTGTATCTCAATTTGCTTGTAAACATATTGCTTGCTTCATGGTTTTGGTGGTTCAGCTTTCCTTTGACTCAGACCCACTTCTTCTTCCTCATTCTTTGCTCCCAGGAAGAACTCTGATGCCTATCATTTCTCTGTGATGCACAGGAGAAGCTGGAAGCACCCTCTGTTAGTCACTGTTTGCCAGACATTAAAATCACTGTCAGCTTAGTAGACTTTTTAATCTTTGCTAAAAAAACTGTTTATCTCTCATCATAAGTGCTACCTTGGTCCAATAATGCAGGCACAACAGATCTAAATTCCATCAGTGTGACCATCCTTGACAGATATACACACCTTCAGCTCTCTGAGGAGTAAGCACAAAAATTGATTCATTCAATGTTTGGTTTCCCTTTTGTAATCATGCGCACCATCCAGTCTGGGAGATCTAGAGGACTAGTCTTCAAATTTGTTCTTATTTTATATATTCAATCCACCTTTTTCTTCTTTAATAGGATGAAACATCTATATTCAGGTATCTTTTTGTGTTCTGCTATTATACCAGTGTTTTGTCCATTACCCTATTATTCTTGTCATTCGATGACCGTAGCTAAGAAATTTATCTCTGGAATAGAATCTTGTCAGCTGCCTTTTTAAAATCTAAGTATAGTACATGCACTGAATTTCTCTTATCTGCCATGGCAGTAATGTCTAAAAAAAATTCCGTGAGTTCAGTGTGACCTCTATAGCCCAGGTTCACATTGTTATCGCTGTTTCAAGGAGTCTTTCATTAAAAAACAAAAGGTGGCTTTGAATATTTTGATTACTTAAATTCTAATTTCTTAGGTTGTTTCTTTTTTCTGTTTAGTAATTAATAGTTTTAGAACTCTTTACTTCTATCTCTAAGAATTAGAAAACTTTTTGCAAATTTCTTTGGAAAGAAAAAAGTGATTTCACTGAGATCACAGTGACAAATTTATTTGGACAGAGCATCTAAAAATATTTTAGTAGTGTTATGTAAATAGTAAATGCTGTTGGAAATAATTTGATGCAAACCTAGCAAGAATCTTCATATCTGGATCACTATTCCTGCTCAGGTTAGTACTTCTATGTCAGGAAAACTGTGAAGTAACACCAGGAATTTTCTTGCTCCCCTATGTTTCTAAGCTACTCCCCATGGAAAGAAGCTACAGGAAATATGTTTTATTAGCAGTGCCCTTATTTGTAAAAATGGAAATGCTTTGGCAGTAGATAGGGTATACCCCAAAACTGGCAAATTCTCTTTGCCCAATTTTGAAAAATTAATATCTTCATTGTTTTATCTTTGGTGCTTATGTGTTTTATATAGGCCCTTAGAGGCTGTAGAGTTCCACAGAGGTCTCACAGTTTTGACTGTTAATGACAAAAATGTGCAGTCCACTGATGTGGTACACTTGATCTGCTATGGATGCTTAAAAAAAATCTCAGCTATATTTATTCCATTACTACTCATTTAAGATCAGCTGAATGCTATTGGAGGCAATGGAGTTACATGGGAGTAAGTCTGACACAAGTGAAAAGAATCAGATCCATCATCTATTCTACTGAATATTCTATTGAACTATTGTAAATGACATCCAGAGCCGAACCAAAGATAACCACATTTTAGACTGATATAATATTATTATGCTTCTGAGTGGGGCACACTCCTTATGCCCAATTGCCAGAACTATTACTGAGAAAGGCTTCTTGATGTGGAAGGAAAAATGAGGTGATAGGAGGGAGCAAGGAGAACAATATAACACAATTGTAAGAAGAGACAGAAGAGCATACTGTGTTAAAATTGGAGCCAAGAGGTGTCATGATGAAGAGAAGAGGAACAGTAATAATTTGCATTTTGTGCAGTACCTTTTAGTCAAGAATATCAACACACTTTGCAGCTTAGCTTAGCTTTATCTGTTGCTATGAATAAGTACTAGTAACCCATCTTATGAGTAGCATGTGGAAGACTGTAAGTTGCTTCCCTGAACAGCAAGTCCACAAGAAGCTTGTGGACTGACTCCTAACACATTGGTCTGACTCCTAACACGTAGTCAATAAAACATGCTCCTTTGAAGGACATGGAAACACAAAGTAAAAAGAAAAAATGGAAGAAACAAAATGATGTGATGAACCAGGAATACAACCTCCACCCTAGACTTTCATGAAAACCTGTGTTTTTTCCATCTCTGTTGCTTTTACAGCACAGACATAACTCCCAGCACTACTGGGATTTGACTTCTAAGGTTTACTTTGATATTTCATTTTGGAATGCAATGACAGGAAGAACAAGGAAGACAACTAATTCTAACCTACATTCTTATTTTTCTAGCACAGTTACTATCCATGAGCAAATAATTTAATCTTAACAGTCAGGTCCTTGAATTCTAACTCAAAATAATGGCTATCAACATGACTGCCGGGGAGTACTTACATCATATAGACCTACAGAAAAGTATTTATATCGACTGGGAATCTCATTTGTGTTCACTGGGAATCCAGAGTCAGAACTTGCCTCAGAAAATCAGTGTCAGTGTCCTTTGTTTCAAAGAATTATGGAGAAGGCACCCTTTTATTTCTAGATGCTACTGGTGGCAAGTGCAATTTCATCTTACAGTTTAGTGACTAGAAGAGTCCTAACTCACTCACTGCTTCAGTCTGAGAAGGTTCAGAGTAATGATGTCAGGGTTGTCATTTTGCCTTGTAGGCACAACTAGCCACCAGTTTCAAAGCAATGAAGAAAAATACATTCCTCTGACCTTCTCCCTAAAAGATTTCTTTCTTAGTTAGAGAACTGTCAAGTGAGTAGTTCATCTGTTGGCCTAAGTAGTAGATTGAAGCCTGACTGGACAAAAAAAAGAACAGGAAGTTGTAGGAGTGACAAAATGTCCGAGGTGGGTTTGCTACTTACAGAAACATTTGTTTAATCATTGGCCAAAACACCTTCTCCTTCCATCTCCACTTAATTCTTTTCCCTGTCCTATGACTCCTTCACAAGTTTTTTGCTTTCACAGCCAAATGAAATGTTGAGTGTGCTGACTTTGAGGGGAAAGAAATCCTGACTGGGACTGGGAACAGGCATCTGTAAATGGGTGTAGGAGTATGAGCCTGTTACACAAAGACAAAAGGGTAACTTGATTAACATTTAATAAGCTCAGCTCAAAGTTGTATCACCAGCTTTCCCAGAAAGAGCCCTAACCAGGAGGTCTGAGGCTACTATTCTCTGCCTTCCAGTTCTATGCTTCTTTGGTGTTGTAAATGGTTCAGTATCTGAAATAGAGAGATGAACACAAAAAAAAAAAGAAAAAAAAAAGCATGTTTGTGAATGTTGTCATTAATGGCAATGTGCCATTTATACATTAAATAACTCATGATTATAAATGTCTGCAGTGTCAGTGTCAGAACAATGATCTAATCAATGCACTTCCTTAAAATATGTGCATATGGAGGATTTCTTGATTCATTCTGAACCAGCAAATCTCAGGGCCTTGCTGCTCTTGTGTTTAAGTGGTTCATAATTTTGTTGTAAGCTAACATCATTTTCCATATTGCTGGGAAAGCTCTGTTCCGTGGGTTAGTGTATTTTGGACTCACATATGGTGTCTTTTTCTGACTCTGTGCACAGCAAAGCATTCACTGAAAGGTCTAAAATCTATTTTAGATCCACATTTAAGTATGGAGGAAAGAGTATTATATTGGGGGCAAGACTGCAAAATGCATTTTTGTGTTTTTGTGTGGGTAGAGCATTTTGGACAACACAGAACTTTGACTCAAAAAATGCTGGTAAAGTATTGTGGAATAAAATTTAAAAGAAGAACAAGAGAATATGAAATTCGGCAGTATCAGCATCTGGATGCTTTTGCGTGCAGTTCAAGGCATCCATCTCTTTAATATGATACACCTCAAATTGGACATAGATCTCATATCTATCTACAAGGCTTTTTATAGGAAAAAACAGTAGAATCTGTAGGAGACAGATTAATACAATATCTTGAAAAACATGCTACCATAACAACAGAGAATAGAAAACAGCACTTAGTTCTGCAGTGATGTACAGAAAAAAGAAAGGTTATGGGTTGTCAATGTGGACTCCTAAATTTTCCTTCCAAAAATAAAACCAAATGATAAGAATCTGAATCTGAACCATTTACATAAAAGTAAATATATTGACTTGGTGGAATTGTTCTGAATGCAACTGAGATTGAAATCTGACTTAATGTTCTTTTCCTATGATCAGATCTAATTTAACTGTAGGAGCTACATGGGACTTTAACATGATCAGAAATTAAACAGTGCAGTAAACTTTAATAGTGAAAGAGTAGAGCAACCTGACTAGCATTTCTTTCTTTGTTGCTCTAGCTTTGATGAGTATTATAGAAACAACAATCTCGAGCCTTAGTTCCAGTGAGGATAGTATGTATGAAATCTGACTTGCCACATCTTACAGAATATTTTCTGCATGGTGACCTTTTGCCAAAACAAATTGTATGAAGTTGCTAGCGTTTGCAGGTAGTTGGCAGTTTGCTGTCCAAAGCAAATATAAGAAACTCAATGTACAGTGACAGTTATGAAAACTGTTGTGTCTAAACAAACTTATCAGAACACAGTTCCTAAGACAACTGCTTTATAAATTGTTTGTTCAAAGAGTGAGCTTATGGGAAGAAATACTGCATAACTCAGTCTTAAAAATTGAAGAATCTGCTTAAATATGATAATATGGTTCTTCTAAATACATCTTGAATAAATCATATATTCATATATATTTTAATACACATGTATAAACTTATGCCTTATGCAACATTATCTTTTCTGGTTGAGATGATAACATGGACAAAATCACATCTCTGATTCAGGTGAAGTACCATTTCAC